CGGAATGACAGAACAGGCACGAGAGAATTTCCCTTTCCCCTTGAAATGTGATATTCCAAAGATATTTCTCTCTTTATTTCAATCCGAGTTTGAAGATTGAACTTTCAGCTTGTTTTTTTTTTTCAACGAAATTTCTTTTTGATTTATTCTCTCTGCGTTTAAAACGTTAACACGCTCGCGGTTGATGCAACGTTTCATTTGCAATATTTTCCGGTTCGTGTTATTTAATTCCGTTTCATGAGAGTTGTAGTTGTGATTTAAAATTTCTTTTTTTACTATTTTTTTTTTCTTTTATACAAATACTACGATCTTGTTAAATGGAGTTATTTGTAGGACTGTGATAAGTTATTTCGATTACAATTCGATCGGATTTTTACCTAAATTTATATTCGTAAGAATACAATCATACAAAATAGAATCACAACAATAGAAAAAAAACTGTACTTTCAATATTTCATATGTTTTCTTGTACTGCGTGTAAAAATTCACAATCTACTTACAATGAACGTGGAAAGTCATTTCACACTTGTATCTGTAGAGAAAATTCTAAGAAGCATTTTCGTGATTCCAGTTTTTATTATAAATTTTATAATATATTTTTATGAGTGATCTTTCACTCTGTGCATATTCTTCACATTTAATATTTATGTTAATGTATTATTTCACTGTTTGATGAAATTTGTGCGCGACAGTCTTCAAAGAGAAACTTGAATTCCGCTTCGCTAGTGGAACTTTTTCGCCAAAATTTTTTTGAAAATTCTCGAGAAACTCGCTGCAGCATACGGTATATTAAATAGAGCTGGCGCTAGTTGTAAACTTCCGTCGTATTGTACGTATTGTATCGTACGCGGAGACGGCTCTCGTCTAGATTTAATCGACTAATCTGCTTAACGGACGCAACTTTACATGGCTTCGTTCGAATCTGTTCGCAGAGAGAAGACCTCTAACGTACACTCCGATATATAAGACACCGCCGCAACGAAGAAAGAAAGATCGCGTTATGGACGAGGCGATCTCGCCGGAGAAAAGGCCGATTGTGCAACACGGTTTAGATCTACCGCCGGATCCAATGTTGACCGATTGTCTGCCAACGCCAACCATAAATTATCCTCAGAATCATGTATCCCAAGCGAACGCTTACAGCAATCCACCCACTATGGCGGACTTCAAGCAGATGGCAATGGATGCTTACAATCAGCGAAACAACCAAAACGTAAGTTTTTCTTCTCTTTCCTTTTTTCTTTTTGTTTGTTAAAGTCGGAAAACTGTAGATACATTTTGGTTACAAAAACGTTCGATGACTCGTTGAGGATCATATATCGTAATGTTGCAAGTATTTTTATTTCTTCGAACTTTGTAAAATTACAGGATCTTGACGGGAGATACAAAAAATAGTAAATGAATCGTTGAAATTTCTCTTTATAGATAGCTAATAAAAATTAGAATTTGGTTATGTTTGAAAAATTACGAGGTAATGTAATTGCAATATAAACGAGGTATTGGATCCTTAGTCACTGAATTCCGAATAATTTTCTGCGCTTATGAAATTGGTCTTTTCGTGTGCAACAATTTAATAATAATAACAATAATAATCATAATATGATATGCACAGCAGATCATATTAGATCATATCAGATTCGATTCAATATAATGGTATCTATATTTTTTTCTTCTATGTACGCGAAAGCAAATTTTCATGTTAGATTTATTGAATATTTCGTATTTTTATACAGATTCCTATGGATTTTAAAATTTTTATAAACGCAATTAAAAGAATGGAATCTAAATAGAGAAATTTGTTTCGTCTACTAAGTATTATTTACTAATTAATTGTTCTGTCATAAATAAATAGTAGCATTTCATATATTTTTTCATATGCATAAAAATCTGCAGAGTGTACTTGTAATAAAATTCATTGCCGCGGTTCTTACAATATTCGGCATACACGTAACGAAAAATATTTCAGTTGTCAAATATCAAGTTTAATGCGTACCATTCATTTGTCAATGTCAAACAGTAACGAAACGATATTTTACGTCGTTCATAAAATCAAAACTTAAACAGTCCTTCGAAGCACAGCGATTCCATATAAAATTAATTTCATTGTAAGTTATATTTATACATCAGAAGTACCAAGGGAAGTTAAACATTTAAGAGAAACGGAAATAAACATATCTCGAAGCTAACTTTCGCGAACTGTAACGTCAATATTAACCTTGCAATTGTGACAGCGAGTTTCATTAAAAACGTAGAGATTTACTCGATTGAAAATTAAATTCCCTTCCCGAATTGCTCCGAGCATGCAGACCACTTCTTCGATGTAACAGTTCACCGATGCCATTCTTGTACATACAATACAATTTAAAAAAAAAAAAAAAAAATAGAAGGGAAAATAAGAGAATATACAAACGAAAGAAAAACATAGCGATAGAAAACAACAGAATGCACGAACCAAGGAAGTATCCCTCCGATATCATATAGATTTCATTCCATTCCTGTCGGTTCCACTGTTTCCGTCCGCATTCCGACGCACGGAGAAATGACAAAAATGTAGGGTCCGGATAGCCGATACCCCGGAAGCGGAACTAATCGATCGGCCGTATAAATCATTCCGACAATTAGCCCCGTAAACTCATTACGGTCTGTAAATTTAATCGGGTCCCTTTTTTAGCGATATCTAATAGAGTGTATTTAGTCGAAGCCGTTTGATTAATGAGAAGCAATTAACGCTTCCCCTCGGCCGCGGAAAAGAGCCAGAGAGAAAGGGAGTGGTGGACGGTTGCTCGTACGGGGGAGGGGGGAAGCAACGGAATTACCGAACGGAACGATCGATAAAACGTGATACAATATTTAACAGGGGAGATCGCGTTCCTTTTCTTTTTTTTTTTTTTTTTTTTTT